GATATTGTGAAACGTTTTCTCATCAGCACACTTCCACATACATAATTATGAAAATATGCACGTGTAGTTTTACAAACTGACAAAGAAAGAAAGAAAGAAAAGAAAATGAAAATAAAAATAAAAATAAAAATAAAGTGAATCAACTTCCAACTTCCACTTTCTTTTAGAGGGTAAGATTTGTTATTTCATGGTGATTATGTTGTCTTGTCTCGTCTTGTATGTTTTTAGCATGTAATGCAAGCTTATTCTCGTGATAAACTTGCACAAACTGCTCATTTCCCAACACATATTTTGCTTGATGATAAGCTTCCTAATCATAAGGTGTCTCTAAAAGTCTCCATGGTAACGTATCAAACTTGAAACAACCGATCACAGTGTAGCAGAGGCCAGGAAACATGTGAATGTGTGTCAGTAGTAGTTTGTGCTCTGTGGTAACCCTGTTGCCATGACAACTAGGGGCCTGGCCTCTGGTCAGGCGGCCATTGGGGAAGTACTGAGCAGACATACCACTGAACTCAACCACTGAAAGCCACAGAATATTTCACCTCTGAGGAATCTTGCGCTCCATTCTTTCTCAGTCCTACTATCAGATTGCAGCTTTTGAACAAATGCTGCAGATGTTTTTGTGCTGTAATTGTTTAGACTCACTGAGATTGGAGGTTGTCTGAAAATATCCCAGATCCAAGTTCTTTGGCATTTTTACAATGCCTTGGTCATCCTAAGACATTTGGGATATCTCTAATGCCTGAATAAGTTTTTTTTACCAACAATTATTTCCCGGGGACAAGTGAACGTGTGGCCACACTGAGACTTTGTATCCATTTACTTCGATTCTCAGACATGCAAACGAGTGAGAGTGTTTCGGGCCAGCTGATAGATGTGTCATTTGTCTTTTCTGCTATTTTTTAAATGTAATTTAATACCTGACAGACACATATTTGGTTTTCTGTGGTATATTCTACATTGTTATCTCAAATTTTGCTGATTTGTCATCAAGATAATGTTATATAGAGGGCAATGCATGATACGCGTCAGTATGAATAAAAACTACAAACCAAGCAATAATGTTTGCATCATATGCCATCGTTTTTTTCCCAGTAAAAATCACATTTTGTAATAAAAAACCTTTTATGAACACAAAAATATTTAAAGAAAACGTTTAATTGAAAATAAAAATATTTCAAATTTGATACTGAAAATATCAAGAAATATAAAAATGCTTAAAAATACAAATCTATTCTTATGTGGTGGGGCAAATATCTCTAGTTCAAGATTAGTGAATTCTGACTTATACATTTGTATGTACAGCACTGGTCAAAATGTTTTGTACTTTTTTTTTTTTTAAGTCTCTTATGCTCACCAAGACTGCATATATTTGATCATAAAATACAGTAAGACAGCAATAATCAATCAATCAATCAATCTATCGATCTATGGATCTATCTATCTATTGACTGTATTGCCTTCAAAACTTTCAGACTTTAATCTTTTAATCTAAACTATTTTAAACTGAAAACTATGTCAAACTGAAAACCGTCAAACTTTTTAAACTTTCTGGGCTGGCTTTCTCAAGCCAACTTCAAAGCTTGTCTCGACAAACTTTTTTATTTAGTTGTATACGTCATTCAAAACAAGCATAAGCTCCCTTAATTCAATTTTATGGGAAGGAATCTCTTATCTAAACCCATCGCACTAGCGCAATGTACCATTCAAAGCTTGGGAGAGATGAGAGTCTGAAAGAGATACAATGGAGACCTGCAGAGCAAAAGAACATGAAAGGGAGGGAGGTAAGGATGGGTAGTTGTATAGGTGATGATGATCATTATTAGGAATAACTGACCTCAAAATGTCTCGACTGACCAATCAGAATCAAGCGATTCAGAGAGCTGTATATAAAAATTTTTTTTTTAAATTACAATTAATAATTACCTAAAGGTTTGCACATTTCAGTGCAACTTCCTGCCACATCTGACATACCAGAGTACATTCAAGGTGAGAGATTTATGAGTTGAGTGTTTGAAGAAACTTTGCCCTCAGCGATATTGTGAAACGTTTTCTCATCAGCACACTTCCACATACATAATTATGAAAATATGCACGTGTAGTTTTACAAACTGACAAAGAAAGAAAGAAAGAAAAGAAAATGAAAATAAAAATAAAAATAAAGTGAATCAACTTCCAACTTCCACTTTCTTTTAGAGGGTAAGATTTGTTATTTCATGGTGATTATGTTGTCTTGTCTCGTCTTGTATGTTTTTAGCATGTAATGCAAGCTTATTCTCGTGATAAACTTGCACAAACTGCTCATTTCCCAACACATATTTTGCTTGATGATAAGCTTCCTAATCATAAGGTGTCTCTAAAAGTCTCCATGGTAACGTATCAAACTTGAAACAACCGATCACAGTGTAGCAGAGGCCAGGAAACATGTGAATGTGTGTCAGTAGTAGTTTGTGCTCTGTGGTAACCCTGTTGCCATGACAACTAGGGGCCTGGCCTCTGGTCAGGCGGCCATTGGGGAAGTACTGAGCAGACATACCACTGAACTCAACCACTGAAAGCCACAGAATATTTCACCTCTGAGGAATCTTGCGCTCCATTCTTTCTCAGTCCTACTATCAGATTGCAGCTTTTGAACAAATGCTGCAGATGTTTTTGTGCTGTAATTGTTTAGACTCACTGAGATTGGAGGTTGTCTGAAAATATCCCAGATCAAAGTTCTTTGGCATTTTTACAATGCCTTGGTCATCCTAAGACATTTGGGATATCTCTAATGCCTGAATAAGTTTTTTTTTACCAACAATTATTTCACGGGGACAAGTGAACGTGTGGCCACACTGAGACTTTGTATCCATTTACTTCGATTCTCAGACATGCAAACGAGTGAGAGTGTTTCGGGCCAGCTGATAGATGTGTCATTTGTCTTTTCTGCTATTTTTTAAATGTAATTTAATACCTGACAGACACATATTTGGTTTTCTGTGGTATATTCTACATTGTTATCTCAAATTTTGCTGATTTGTCATCAAGATAATGTTATATAGAGGGCAATGCATGATACGCGTCAGTATGAATAAAAACTACAAACCAAGCAATAATGTTTGCATCATATGCCATCGTTTTTTTCCCAGTAAAAATCACATTTTGTAATAAAAAACCTTTTATGAACACAAAAATATTTAAAGAAAACGTTTAATTGAAAATAAAAATATTTCAAATTTGATACTGAAAATATCAAGAAATATAAAAATGCTTAAAAATACAAATCTATTCTTATGTGGTGGGGCAAATATCTCTAGTTCAAGATTAGTGAATTCTGACTTATACATTTGTATGTACAGCACTGGTCAAAATGTTTTGTACTTTTTTTTTTTTTAAGTCTCTTATGCTCACCAAGACTGCATATATTTGATCATAAAATACAGTAAGACAGCGATATTGTGAAATATTATTACAATTTAAAATAACTATTTTCTATATTTTATAATAGCAAAAATAGGCAAAGCTAAATTTTCAGCATCATTACTCCAGTCTTCAGTGTCACAAGATCCATCAGAAATTATTCTAATATGCTGATTTGCTGCTCAAGAAACATTTCTTATTATTGTCAACATTGCATTATCAAACAGTTGTGCTACTTAATATTTTCAAAACAGAGGCTACAGAGTGTGACATCATATCCTGTCGCCCACATTTGACACAGGGTCAGTAATTCAGCATGAAAGTAACGCACCTTGAGGGAGTGATCAGTGAGCAAGTCGTATATGCGTACAGTATGTGTTTTGGGTGTAGTTAGATAATCGAACAAAGTATGCGCTGAGCAGATGAAACATTTTACCAGTGAAGCAAAACTAAAAGTATTAAGCAACATTGAAATCTGAACCTTGAAAGCATCAAATATCAAATTCTCAGAACACAAAGTTCACACACTGTTCTTTGTTCTCTGCTGGGGTGTGAAGTGACTGTCAAAAGGCCATCTTCATTCACAGCTCAGCTGATTCTACAGTATCAGTCACTTGATGTGTTCAGATTTAATTAAAGCTCAAATTAGAGTGATTCAGTTAGATTGTCAAGTGCAGAGTCAAGTACAGCAGGAATATCAGGTTGCAAATCTATGATGAAACCCTCATTCAACATGATTCATAACTGACTCTTAACTCAATTTAGCTGTGCAGAAAGAATGTGCTGTGATGATGAAATGAACAGCTTCATTTCTAATTCACTCCCTTGTTGTTACGACGGCATGAAAACATGCTAGATACCCCCATAATTATTACAAACATATAGAGATGTACACAAGAGCTCTAGAGGAAGGGTTGGCATGTTCACTATGTGACATTAAATGATGGTCACAAAAATTACATCGTTATCATACCTGCGTAAAAAGAAGATTCTTATAATTAAGCGATCTTTTGGGCAGAGACTTGCAGATTCATAACTCCTAGCTTTTGTTTTCATGTTGATTATGAGATTAGATACATGGAATGACAGCCAAATGTCCTGGGAGAGTTCAAAACAAAACAGACACACCTGTTTTTACATTTAGAAAATGTTAGAAAACATTCCACTAGTAATTGCTAGTTATGCTCCACTTTGTGTTCTTAGTTCATCATTAGTTCAATGCACCTCGAGTCCAAAACAAATTTCCCTTTGGGGACAATAAAGTGTATTTCATTTCATTTCAGGGGGGTTCAAGTCAAAAGATGTACCACATTTTTCATTACAGAGAGACATTTTTGTAATTCTGAGGCGCATTTTCACTCTCTGAGTACACAGTGTGAGTCATAGGCACACTGATTTACAAAATATCTTAGTTTCAGTGGCATGAATGCTTCCTGCAGGGCTGTCCTCGAGAAACTTCAATAAGTCACTTTGAAAAGCTGGAACAAATAGCTAGAAAAAACTTCGTCCCACATTACGTAGCAAAACAATCATGTTCTTGGTATTTTGTGATGTTTCTGGTAAAATATCAGATATACATAGTGCATTTATATATGTTCTCTATCTGCTCGAGTTTCTCCAGCACAGCAGACAAGGCTCATATCTGCTGCTCTTGCTCCAAGTCATTCTCTGCCAGCACAAGACAGAAAACACATCAGCAGGATGTCGTTCACCAAGAAAACCAACTACACTGTGAAGTCCTCTTCCTCTGGATCTGCTCCACGCAGCTTCAGCAGTATGTCTTACTCTGGCCCCAGCGTCAGCCGGCAGAGCTACAGTGTGCGCAGCTCCTACGGAGGTGCCAACCGTGGCATGGGATCTGGATTGGGAGGAGGTAGCTTCATCAGCAGCTCTTCAGCCTATGGTCTTGGCATGGGAATGGGCATGGGTACCGGTGTCGTAGCACCCATTCAAGCAGTCACCTTCAACAAGAGCCTCCTGGCACCTCTGAACCTGGAGATCGACCCCAACATCCAGGTTGTCCGCACCCAGGAGAAAGAGCAAATGAAGTCCCTCAACAACCGTTTCGCTTCCTTCATTGATAAGGTGGGTTTAAAGCTTCTTTCTTTGTAGTTTTATTAGTTAAAGAGTTTCCAGGTATGAGTCAAACTAAAGGTCGTAATAACTCCTTAGTAACTCCTGACTGCATGTTCTTGCTTAAAACATCTGTAGAAGTTAATCTAGTGTGGCATAGAAAATATATATGGGGTTGGATACATTGTCATCAAAGGGAAAGAAACAAGACTTATGGAAAGTGGAGAAAAGGGTGTGTACATGGTCAGAGTGTGATGGCTTTTCATTTGAATGGGATGCCCCGAGGCTCTTCTGAAACCCTTGTGGAGAGTCCACACCCAAATAAGGATGTCCTGCAGGACATGAAACCTGTTATCTGAATATTAATCTAGTTAAATTATTACAAACTATGTATTTTACATTTTCAAACAAAAAATATCCATATCAGAAGAAAAGATAGTCACATAGTTAATATATAATTTGAAGAACCGGGGTCATGTTCTGGATAGCACTGGATAGGTTACGTAACAGCGTTCAAGGCAACAAGAAGAGGAAATATTCTGCCACACTTTTAAGCTTTTAAGTCTTTGTGCCCTTCCTCTTAACTAGTCTGCTTTGCATTATATTATTTGTTTTAAACACACTGTTTTTGAATAAGAAAGCTGATTAGTTATGCCAGCTGGCTCAGTGACACCTTTACTGTAACCTAATTGTGTGTGCAATGTTCACCTTGAGCTGTTAAAGTTTTATCACTGAATTATTTGCTCTCCGCCCACCATTTACACACTCTTTTAAGAGACTCTAGCAGATCTGGTCTCTTCCTGCTGTCCATTGAATATTAACTATGTAGATAGTCCCATCCACAGGATAGGTACAGCTCTAGTCACCCTTCCTAATGTTCTACTGGAATATGCGTCACCATTTCCAAGGGGGAAAAAAGTGTTACAAACTGAAAACATGTGCATCTCTCGTTATTTAAGGAAAACAGCGCTTTCCTTTGTGAAGATCATGAACCACAAGCACTACGTTGGCATATGGTCTCACTTTTGTGAGCTGGCGTAGAACCATGATTCCAAAATTACTTTGCAGCATCGGTCTGGGGGCGTTGCTCTCCGAAGCTGCACTTGCTGCCAAGTATGGTTTTCATTTGTGTCTTGATTGAGATAAAACCTCTATTCTCATCTTGCCAATGTAGGTACATAGAAATAATTGTATTGTTTAAACCATTAATAACCATTAATAATTACAAAAACATCCATGTACATGGTTAGGCTAAATGTATGGATATGAGTATTGAATTTCAACCACACCCACCCACTACACCTAAGCACCGGCCAATCAGAGCCTTCTTTTGGCTCCTCCCACTCAGCAGCACATATAGTAGGAGGCAGAGTCTACTGTTCTCTAGCTGCTCGAGTTTCTCCAGCACAGCAGACAAGGCTCATATCTGCTGCTCTTGCTCCAAGTCATTCTCTGCCAGCACAAGACAGAAAACACATCAGCAGGATGTCGTTCACCAAGAAAACCAACTACACTGTGAAGTCCTCTTCCTCTGGATCTGCTCCACGCAGCTTCAGCAGTATGTCTTACTCTGGCCCCAGCGTCAGCCGGCAGAGCTACAGTGTGCGCAGCTCCTATGGAGGTGCCAACCGTGGCATGGGATCTGGATTGGGAGGAGGTAGCTTCATCAGCAGCTCTTCAGCCTATGGTCTTGGCATGGGAATGGGCATGGGTACCGGTGTCGTAGCACCCATTCAAGCAGTCACCTTCAACAAGAGCCTCCTGGCACCTCTGAACCTGGAGATCGACCCCAACATCCAGGTTGTCCGCACCCAGGAGAAAGAGCAAATGAAGTCCCTCAACAACCGTTTCGCTTCCTTCATTGATAAGGTGGGTTTAAAGCTTCTTTCTTTGTAGTTTTATTAGTTAAAGAGTTTCCAGGTATGAGTCAAACTAAAGGTCGTAATAACTCCTTAGTAACTCCTGACTGCATGTTCTTGCTTAAAACATCTGTAGAAGTTAATCTAGTGTGGCATAGAAAATATATATGGGTTGGATACATTGTCATCAAAGGGAAAGAAACAAGACTTATGGAAAGTGGAGAAAAGGGTGTGTACATGGTCAGAGTGTGATGGCTTTTCATTTGAATGGGATGCCCCGAGGCTCTTCTGAAACCCTTGTGGAGAGTCCACACCCAAATAAGGATGTCCTGCAGGACATGAAACCTGTTATCTGAATATTAATCTAGTTAAATTATTACAAACTATGTATTTTACATTTTCAAACAAAAAATATCCATATCAGAAGAAAAGATAGTCACATAGTTAATATATAATTTGAAGAACCGGGGTCATGTTCTGGATAGCACTGGATAGGTTACGTAACAGCGTTCAAGGCAACAAGAAGAGGAAATATTCTGCCACACTTTTAAGCTTTTAAGTCTTTGTGCCCTTCCTCTTAACTAGTCTGCTTTGCATTATATTATTTGTTTTAAACACACTGTTTTTGAATAAGAAAGCTGATTAGTTATGCCAGCTGGCTCAGTGACACCTTTACTGTAACCTAATTGTGTGTGCAATGTTCACCTTGAGCTGTTAAAGTTTTATCACTGAATTATTTGCTCTCCGCCCACCATTTACACACTCTTTTAAGAGACTCTAGCAGATCTGGTCTCTTCCTGCTGTCCATTGAATATTAACTATGTAGATAGTCCCATCCACAGGATAGGTACAGCTCTAGTCACCCTTCCTAATGTTCTACTGGAATATGCGTCACCATTTCCAAGGGGAAAAAAAGTGTTACAAACTGAAAACATGTGCATCTCTCGTTATTTAAGGAAAACAGCGCTTTCCTTTGTGAAGATCATGAACCGCAAGCACTACGTTGGCATATGGTCTCACTTTTGTGAGCTGAGCGAAACTGAGCACAAATATTTCTTGTTTCGATAGCGCGCCAATCTGGAGAACCAGATCGCAGAGGCAGAGGAACGTGGCGAGTTGGCCGTAAGAGATGCCAAGGGCCGCATTAAGGACCTGGAAGATGCCCTGCAGAGAGCCAAGCAGGACATGGCCCGCCAGATTAGAGAATATCAGGACCTGATGAACGTCAAACTCGCCCTGGACATTGAGATCGCCACATACAGGAAGCTCCTGGAGGGAGAGGAGGACAGGTGAGTCAATCAAATGCATGCTTGCTGTGAGACCTAGTACTCTATTTTTGAGATGAGGTTCAGATATCTCATTCTGTGCAGAAGTCTCATTACCTCTTGTTCACTCTTTTCCAACAGACTGGCAAGTGGAATCAAGTCCATCAATATCTCAAAACAGAGCAGTAAGTTTGACTCTTTATCACAGAGGACCCTACTGAAAAGCCCAGCATGGGGTTCTAGCATGCTCTTGTAACAAGGACATTTTGTGCTGGTCTTTTCAGGATTCTTTCATCACATGACAATTCTTGTAACTATATGATATCAGGAGATCCTCATTTAACATCTTCATGTTTCTGTCCTGATAGCGAGCTATGGCTCTTATCCCCTGGAAAGTGCAAGCAGCGGCTACGGCAGCTACTCTAGTTATTCCAGCGGCTATGGTGGCGGATATGGTGGCGGCTACAGCTCTGGCGGCTACAGCTCTGGCAGTGGCTACGGTGACACCGTCTCTCAGACCAAGAAGAGCGTTGTGATCAAGATGATCGAGACCAAGGATGGCAGAGTTGTGTCTGAGTCCTCTGAGGTTGTCCAAGATTGAGCGAGTCCCCTTCCCCAATTCTGTCCACTAAACCTCACGCCCCTTATGCATTCCTGGCCTTCCCTCTCAACCGTTATGACTGCGGCCGGTCCAAGGCACTAGACACGAATGCAGTCATAAACCAGGTTGTAAGCAATAAACCATTAACTCTGACTAAAGAATTCCAGAGGGACCAAATGCTCTCACTGCTCTTGTCGTGCCTTAATCCACATCACTAAAACTCACGCCCACAGGCCACCGCACAACAATACTGTCTTCAGATCGTACCTTGCACAACATGGCCACGTCTGTAGGCTGAATAATCCTCGATGTGCCACTAACATGAGCTAGCCATTTAGCTGAATTGCTCAACATGCTAAGAAACTGATTTCCACAGTAACTATGAAGGGATATGTTTGCGCTAAATTACTAGCATGTTAGTGGTAGACCCATGTGGTTTGCCTATTTAGTAGAGACCGTCATTTCATTGTGCTCTGGAAAATAAGACAGATGTTGCCCATTGTGTATCCTGTTTTCTGAGGTGCTGTTTTTGCTACCAAAAATAAAGTGTTTACCTAAAACTTCATGTCTTTGTGTGTGTGTGTGTGTGTGTGTGTGTGTGTGTGTGTGAGAGAGAGAGAGAGAGAGCTAACTAGCCTCTCTACAAAACCCACACCCTTCAAAGACATGTCAGAAAGCTAAGGGTTCTCGGTTTGGCTGGTTAGCATGGTTCAGTTAGTCCCTGCTGGCAGATGTCATAGGCTGATTACTTGCTCTACACCATCTAGACAAAAATATCTCTGAAATAATATTAACAAGCAGTCAATACTATTCTGAGTAAATAAAAAGGTTTGTGTGGTATTCGGGGAAAAAATGCTTAAAACAACTCACATAGTCAAGAACTCACAAGGATTCACATTGTCTTTCTGCTGGATGATGCACCTTGTACAAGTGTTCCTGTTTTAAAAAAAAAAACAATCAGTTCCCTATGCGTTTGTGACCCCTAGAGATTCATGACGGAACTACATGGTGCTTGTGAGCTGCAGATAGACATGCAAATGCAAAATTAAACTGAAATGCATAATATTTAAAATAAAATGAGTAAAAACAAGCCAAATATAACCTTTTACTGTCGTCATATACAAGATATGTTATTAAGTATATTTATTGGAAGCTTAGTTAGCCTACTTGTGATAGTCATTTAAATCATAAGGGTTCAACTAGCAACAATGGGGAAACCCAGGACAACTGCATGCCACCCATTTTTCAGTTAGTGCAGCAATGTTGCCTCTTACTCATGCATGATATTTTGACTTTGTGCTGTCTGGCTCAAATAGTGACTCACTATTAGGCTACAGTATATTTCCAGGAAGACAGATAGGCCTACATTTTGGCAAGAGAGCATCTGATTAAAAATGGCTTAAGTAAAACAGAATTCAGTTGTTTACTTTGGAAAGCATTTTTATATTGTCTTTCAAAGATTCTGCAACTGCAATAAGACTTGAAATTTGAAAATTTTCACACAGTATAATAAACTTTGGGAATCCCTTTTTTTTTTACTTTATTTGTATTTTAATTTTATAACAGTGGTGGTTAATACCAAATTACCGCAATATTGGTGTAGTGTGTTAACTGTAGTGACCGAAGTACTTAAGCAAAAACTATAGTTACTGTATGGTTGCCACTGAAAAAAAAATCTAAACAAACGATAGCATTTATGCATTGTTTTGAGAAATCTGTATTGATAAAATAAACTAATTTATAATTATTACTATAGGTCTACTACCATAACTATTAAAGAAAATGTATTATGGAATCAGTTTATATATTAATCAATTTGTTTATTCAACAGCAAAAGTGAACAAATGTCTAATAATATAAGCAATGAAGCTTTCCTTTCAACTGTATCATGAAAGCGTTCATTTTACTCAAATCTTTTGTGGACATCTGGTGGTTAAAAGGATGAAAAGCACCTATTGTACCAAGAGGTTGCAGTTGTTAAAAGTCTATGGGTTAATGTAAGCTATTATTGCTTTTTTTCCTTTTAGGAGTTTTAAAAGCATGGCACGAAACCATAAACTAAACTAGTCAACATTACCTTGAAATTATGAGTATGACTCTTATTATTATTTTTATTGGAAGTTTTTTTATGTGATTAATTTAAAAAATTTTTATACCATAATTCATATATGAAGCTCATATGAACTTTTCTTATAAAATAAGTCAAAGAATTGGGGCATATGTTTAAGAGATTTTATTTATTAATGTATTTAATGTTTATTTTACTTAGTGCCGATTATAGTCACTAAAACAATTACTAGTCTATTTCCTTAAAATAATTGGTATAAAATACATT